ATTTATTAAGCCCACATTGTGTGCTAGATCCAAGGGGTACAAAGATAAATAGGATCCAGTCATTCCCTCAAGGAGGGTCTAGATCAGGGCTTCCCATTCTTGATGCTCCTGACATTTGGGGCTGGATAATTCTCTGTCTGGGGGCTTGCCCTGGGCAGTCTGGGATGTTGAGTGCCATCTCTGGCTCCTACCCACCAAGTTCTGGCAGCATCCTCCTCCCAATCATGATGACCAAAACTGTCTGCAGACTTTGTCAAATGCCCCCTGTGAGACAAACTCATCTTCGTTGAAAACCACTGGTCTAGATGCAGAGACATCAAGAAACAGAAAGAAAAAAATTTCCATATGAGGTAGGTGTAAGCACAAAGTACAAAAATGATCAGTAAGAAAATCGGAGACTTGGAAAATATTTGTATGTATGCTGATGAACTGGCCCAGAAGATAAAATGTTGCCACATGAAATAATCACAGGGCAACACAAGACAGCGTTTTCATAACGGGAGAGGAGAGGGTTGAAACATGTTCAGTCCTTGCTGTGTCGGAAGCTGCTTTGCATTTGTTGGTTTATTTCACTCTTACAACAGTCCTGCAAGGCAGGGGTGGTTTTTCACTAGGCAGAGGAGGAGAGTGAGCCAATGAGTCAGGTCCCAGGCACGAGGTGACGCGTCGGTGCCTCTACAGCTGCTAAAGGCTCCACCTTTTCTCTCTGCCACCCTGTCTTTGTGGTCAGCACACGGTCTTTTTCGAGCCACTCCGGTTTCACCCCCGCCTCCATTGGTGTCTGTCTGGAGGACTGCAGATGACAGTGTCTCATGTCTGTGCTTCTTCCCTAATTCCCACCTTTCCCCACCTCCAGTCTCACCCTGGTCCTCCCCATCCTAAGCCACCCTGGGGCTCCATGATATGAATCCGTCTGTAGTGCAGGAGACGTGGGTTTGATCCCTGCGTCAGGAAGACCCCCTGCCGGAGGAAATGGCAACCTGCTCCAGTATTCTTGTCTGGAGAAGCCCGTGGACAGAGGAGCCTGGGTACAGTCCAGGGGTCAGACATGACTCAGCAACTAAGCCACAAGGAAACAATGTCTCCACCCTAAACACACGAATCCTAATACACAGTTTGGTGTAGCACCTGCTTTCTCTCCATGGCAAACCAAATCCAAATCCAAACTTCACGGCTTGGTTTCCAGCCTCCTTTCTCTGACTTCTGCCCAGGTTCCCCGCCTGGACTTTCACTGCCTCCTAAAGTACGTGTCCTGTTCTGCTAATGGCAGTGAACATTTCTGAAAGGCTTATCATATTGGTCCATTGAATCCTTGTGTGTGTGCACGCTAAGTTGCTTTAATGTCTGACTCTTCGTGAATCTATGGATCCCAGCCCACCAGGCTCCTCTGTTCATGGAATTCTCCAGGCAAGGATACTGGAGTGGCTTGCCATGCCCTCCTCAGGGGATCTTCCCGACCCAGGGATCGAACCTTCCTGTCTTCTGTCTCCTGCATTGGCAGTGGGTTGTTTACCACTAGCGCCACCCGGGAAGGACAGATGCCCAACAAAGTGGATGGTGTTGTTCTTGTTTTACAAATACCCTAAGCTGCTTCCTCTTTGCCTTTGCTTATGCGTTCACGTTACCTGGACATCTGGATTCCCCCTTCCTTCACCCCTTTCGCTCTAGGTAAATCCTCATTCAAGACTCAACTCTGATGTCACACCTTCCCAAAGCTGCTCTGGATCACTTAACCCTTGGAGATGGTTATTTTCTCTGTATAGTACATTGTCCTGGTATTTATCTCATATCCCTCTCACAGTAAGCTTCTAGAAGGACATCAGCATCACCCCTATACTCCTGGAGTTCTACCCTTAAAAAAGTGAAGTGAAAGTGAAGTTGCTCAGTCATGTCTGACTCTTTGCGACCTCATGAACCAGAGTCTGCATGCAGACTCTTTACAGTCTGAGCCACCAGGCAAGTCATAAGGTGAAAGTCACTCCGTCATGTCTGACTCTTTGCAACCCCGTGGACTGTAGTCCATGGAATTCTCCAGGCCACAATACTGGAGTGGGTAGCCTTCCCTTCTCCAGGATCTTCCCTACCCAGGGATTGAACCCACATTGAATGTGGATTCTTTACCAGCTGAGCCACCAGGGAAGCCCAGGAACACTGGAGTGGGTAGCCTATCCCTTCTCCAGAGGATCTTCCCAGTCCGGGAATGGAACCGGGGTCTCCTGCATTGTAGGCAGATTCTTTACCAGCTGAGCCACCTGGTCTAGTTATTACCTGGTTCACCCTTATTAGATGCTCAAATACAGGTTATCTGAACAAAGTTAAGACCACTGCTCGTGTGGTTTCTGATCTTTAAAATTTTTCCTCTATCCCCCTGCGTGCTCAATCGCTAAAGTCGCGTTTGACTCTTTCTGACTCCACGGACTGCGGCCAGCCAGGCTCCTCTGTCCAAGGGGATTTTCTAGGCAAGACGGCCCTGGTTAGGAGCAGGGCTGCGAGCCACGCCTCCTGTGCCATCCGCCAGCAGCGCCCGCTCTGTCGGGGATCAAGGGCGCAGGCTCGCTGCTGTGTCCCATCTGCATCTAGGGACACTCGCGCCTACCCTGAGCAGGATGGAGCCTGGCGAGTGGCCGTCCCCACTCTCTCCCGGGGTAGCGGTAGGGACTCCCTATCGCCTTTTTCTGCCAACAAATTGAGGACGATTGATCCCGGGATCCGGCGCAGAGGGGTCGGCCGGCTGAAGGCGCTCCCTGCTGGCGAGATGCGGACTCGCAGGAATTGTAGGACACCTTAGCTTCACTGGCCCACAGCATCCGAAAACACGACGTTTTCATCCTAGGGAGAGGGTGTAGGAAAGCAGGAAAGTCCGAGAAGACATTGTTTTGTTTCCGACCCATCCGATCCCTTTTCTGTTGTTCTCAGTTCAGGGATTGAACCCACGCTGTTTCCTGCATTGACAGATGGGTTCTTGACCACTAGCCGCACTTGGGAAGCCTTCCGGTTCATGCATAAATCATAGCCCTTCTCACTATAGGGGAGGCTTTTCTGCTTTCCAATGGGAAGTGATCCTGACAACCCACAGGACATGCATGCTCTCTGCACACAGGCAGGAGATCAGACGACAGCCGGCGCCTCAAACAAATGAAGATGCTGGGTCCCAGGGGGGAGAATGGCCGTCTCCATGTGACATCTGTGTGAACACCGACCGACTGGGTCCCAGCTGAATGGAGCGCCGTCGGGGGACCTTGAGACTGCCTGGCTGGGGGAGGCATGCGGCCAAGCCTGCTCTGCTGCCGCCCGCTGTGCTTTCCCACGAGGCGTTCGAACAGAGGCACCACGGCTTCTTACCAGGAAGGCTTAGGTGTCTCCTCCGCCACCCTGCTTTGTGGATGGCTAAACACTGACACCATTTCCTGTCTTTGGCATTTTTATTTTGTAAGATGATAGCATTACAAGGTTTAGCAAGATCGTGTATGTGTTTGTATTCTAGACTGGATGTTCCCACACCCAGTGTGCTGAGAATCACCGACTCCTCTGCTCTGCTAAATCTCCTGGGCACAGGGCAAGAAAAATATTCAAATCCTCAAGGTTTTTTGTGTGGTACATTTCTTGTGTGGCATTTGGGAACTCATGTCCCAGAACAAAAGTCTGTCGTCCATAGGTGGAGAATGTTCCAACACCTCTTTTTCAGCTGAAGTCCACCAGAACCCAAGGATGCAGAATTTCCAGGCTTAGAAATAGCTGGGGTATCTCTATGGATCTGCATCTGTTACATGACTTGGAAAACAATGTTACAGTATCTTATGACAACTTCTCTAGACCTCCAAGGCTCCTAAGAGCTCAGCCACATGCATCTGTGTCCTCCACAGGTTCTGGCACCTAGCAGGCTCTTAATTCATAAAGATTTACGGTTTATGAAGTCATTGTTCTACCAGAACACCCCGTCTGAAGAGTAGCCTTGAAAACTGCATGAATCTACCTGATGGGTTGTCTTAAGAAGGTATGACAGGACTGGAGCACGTCCCCAAACCTAGGTCTGATCAGAATTCCAGGGGACCTGGACTGTCAAAATCCTCGGTCTATTCTCCAAAAGGCCCAAGCTGGTTCAGGCTTTTCCGAGTCCTTGTACCTACTGCCGTTGGGCAGCAGGTCTTTCGTGTAGGATTTATGTACTGATAGACAGCCAACAGGTACTGAGTTCTTTATACCGGACACCATCCTAGTACCTTACATGTTACTGCATTCAATTCGTACCACCTTACAAAGTAGGTTTTGGTACTTTGTTCTACTCATTTAATAGGCCCAGGAATGAGACAGAACGGGAATTGGAATCCAGGCATTCTGGTTCCAGACTTGTTTTTAACCACTATGCATTTCTGAATAAACAAGATCCTTTTTTAGTTTATTTGAATTCAGCTTGCACCTGGGCAGTTAAGACCAAAAGAAATCTAGAAATTCCAAAGACAACATTACCCACAGCCTGGAGGACCCAGTTTCCTACTTGGAAACAGTGATCTGCTTGGCTCCCGGCCTGTGCTGCCGGGCTTCGCTGGCTAAAGAGGCCACTCAATCCTATTTGTCAAATTAATGGCCCCACACATGCCACCTGCAGCTCTGCCCTTAGCACAGGGGCTTAAGGGGTCTTCTCTGTGTGCAAATGGGCCTTGAGATTCTGGTGACCGGCCCCCTCCCATGTGAATCCTGGCCAGGCAGGTGAGGTCTGGTTGTCTGGATGTCCCTAGGCTGGACTGGCCTTGTTAGCATCGTCTCATGTAGGACTCCCACCAAGTCCTGACGTTAGCCATTATGAGTACGAATAATCTTTCCACGTTCTGTTTATATGTTTTTCTCACAAATGGCAAGACCAGTGGACACCAGACACAATGTGACAAGGAGAGCCAGTCTGGGTTCTGGCTGTAACAAGGATCCTGTATCAAGGATGCCACTCCTGGCATCCAGGACTCAAGTCCAAGCTGACCAAGCAAGGTGAAAGCAGTAATAAATGATACAAAGTTGATGTAATTGTTTAATGACACAGGAAAATAACATTATGAAACAAGACGGTTACAAATACTGGGTAGAGGATCATTTACTTCACTTTTGATAAAAAAAATTTAAAAGTATGTATACAAAACACTGGAAGATTAAGTATCAAAATATTAACAGTATTTACTTCTGTTCCAGTGATTAAATAGTCTTCTCTGCTTTTGTGTACTTTTTAAAACATGATTATTTCTGAAACAAAGAAAAGTCACTGTAAAGAGAAACAGTTATTAGATGCCAGGAGTCCAGCAATTAAGGTCAGGAGTCCAGCAATCAAGGTCTGCAGCCCAGCACATGTCCAGCAAGGGGGACAGCGGTCAAGCCCAGATGTGGGACTGCATCCTTCTTTTCCTACTGGAATGCTGTTTACCAGACTCTTTCTTCAACATTTAATATTCTTAGCACATTTAATAGGAATCCATGAATATTAACTGGTACAACAGCAAAATGATGCTAGCAACTTTGGTTTTAAATTACTACAAAATGTAATAACCATTTTGTAGTTATAAAACACACTAGAAATAAAACATCAAACACACCAGAAATCAAAAATTATTACAACAAAAAACCCCATCTGACTAAACCACTGACTTTGCTATTCTGTTGTGTGCTCATTTTCAGTTTTCACCATAAATCTATTTTCCTTTCATGGATCTGGAAAAGGCAGTTTTTCTCAAAAAGATGCTTTTGCCTTCAAAATATTGTTGGAAGTATTTCGAGTTGGAAGGACTCACCAATACTGAAACCACTTCAAAGAAACAAATTTGACTGAGGGGTGTCACCGTTCTTTGTGCCTTAGTCTGCTAAGTTACCAATTGGAGAAGAGCAGAGACAAAATCTGGGATTTCCCCCAACCTACCCTCGATGTCAGGACTGCTAGGGGTGCTTTATTCAAGTAACAATGACAAGGCATATTTCTTACTCCTGAAAAAGTAAAACGGAAAAGGCTCCTTGTTTTAAAGTCTGGCATATAAAAGCCCAGTGCTCCCTTAGGGGTTTCCCAAAGCTCTCTGCCCTTTGACACAGCAACACTTTCAGCAGGGCTCAAAACACTGTTAAGGTCCAAGAAAAAACTGAAACCAAAAACAATTGAGACAATTTTCTGCACCACCACCACCTGTCCAGTGTCCGGTCACCTGCCCTTTCTGGCAGGCTGACACAGCAATCCAAGTCACAAAAGGCTTCAGACACTAGGAAGGCAAGGTACCAAAAGAATTATGTTAAAACAGTAACAAGTTTGGGGGAAAAAAAAAATTTACACTTAGAAATATCCTATCATCACAAAAACTAGAAAGATGCCTTGCTGTGCTCTTGGGCAATCAAGACATCACGACCTGTTTCATATCTCCAAAAAGGAGACTCACTGGAAACCTCAGTGCTGGCGACCCAAGTTAATTCATACTAGTTAGATGAGTCCAAATCCTAAATTAACACAAATTCCTTTCTTACAGCGAGAAAAAGAAAATCCATTTCAGGACAAAGGTGTATCTTCAGTGAGAGAACTGCCTGCCGTCAGACGGCTTCCTGCTTATGTGTTTGAAGATCTTGGACTTCTCGACTTTCTTGGCTTTCTGGTAGCCAAATCCACCGCCACCGCCACGCTTTCTAACCTTGCCGTCATTGCTGTTCACATCTAAAGGCGACATTAAGGAAATCCAGCAACACAAAGACAGCCAGCTCCAAACCACCACGCAGGGAGAATCAGCCAGCGGTGTACCAGCCCCCTGCCCCACCCCCGCCCTGCCCCACTCGAACCAGGAGTGGCCACGTGACTGGGGGCTGAAACCAGCAGGCAGGATTTTTAGATCCAGTTCATACTTAACCTATGACCACTTCCCTGGCTCTCTCTGCCACTCAAATTCCACTGTCCTTTTTCAAAGCCATAAACTGTCTCGTCTCTGTGTCTCCACCCTGACTATCCCACGCGAGCGCTGACGCGAGGTCAGTGACTGATCTGACCACCTGGGCCCCAGGCCTCAGCCAGAGCACAAGCCAACCTGAGTGCCAAGCCCCAAAGCCCCGGTCAGGCTGCTGGCCCACAGTTCCTGGACAAATTCATAACCACAGAGAAAAGGATACTCAAATCAACAAAAGGAGGCACCTTGAAGCCAAATGACAGAGCAACCTGAGGCAAATTTAAGTTATTAACATTGAAGATCTGTTTCAGGGAGTGGGAATCATAGGCTCGAATGTACGACTTATATGCTTCCTGGGCTGACTTATGGAGGAAGTAGTTCTTTTCAATCAGTTTTTCAAGCTGAAACAGAAAGAAATACTGACTTTAATGCAAGCAAGCACAATTCATCTATAACATCTGTTCCAAAACACTTGCTCCAAGCTTTGTAATATCTGCAAAATCAGGGTGCAGTGAGAATAATGACAAAATTCACGTTAAGGTACAGACTGAAAGCAGGTAGACTATACGCGAATGTGATGACCATTCAAGTCCAGACTTCCCACTTTATGGTAAGGGCGGCTCGGAGGAGGGCGAGTGGCGATGAGACACTACAGAGACAGGGCTGGGATGCCCCCCACCCTCCATCCCCCACATACCTGAGACTGAATGTCAGAAATTTTGGACCAGGAAAACTCGAATTCACTTAATGGAACCTAGAAAACAAAAGCATGCAGGTTAGTAAACCGGGCTGGTCTGATGCAGCTCATCAGTCACTGATGAGACGGAAGGGAAAAGGCTTGTGGAATTTCAATTTCACGGGCCAGAGGCCTGTTTCCCTGTCTCCCAATGCCAATGGGCGAGGTGCACCTTGCCTGTCCCAACGCACACTGACGGGACCCTCCTCAAAGGAAAGGTGTGAAGCTGAGAGGGGTGGCGATGCACGGAAGCCTCTTCTCTGCAGACGCAACGTGGTGAAGCAGCCTTCAGCCTCTCGCTTACAGAGCCACCAGCTCTTCTCTCAGGGTTGGGAAGGCTGCCCCGGCATCATGCTGCCCTGTGACTGGGGTTTGTGACCACCAGCTCCCACGGCAGGGATTTCTTACCAGTCGTCTCTTATGAGACAACTGGAAAAGTGCCCATGCAGGCGCTGGGGAAAAAGAACAGCCGCCCGAGTCCTGGGCCCTGCGGCCCTGGAGGGAGACAGGTGAGTGGGCTGACAACCTGATAAGCACCTGGGGTGGGGGCACATGAAGGAGGGATGAGATCAGCGACGCCCTCCCAGAGGAACCAGGAACCAGGCAGCTAGAGAAAAACTGCAAAGGCCGGATGGCAATTTCTAGGAACTGCTTCTACCTGGGGAGAGGGAAAATACACCAGCAACATGTGCCAATGAGGCAAACGTCGGGAAAGACAAGGCCGGACAAGCGTTCACTTGTAACAGACAAGAGTTGGTAACAGACAGGCCGGAGTCAGGTGAGGTGGACCGAGACCAGAATCAGAGGAGCTGAAACAGAACCCACTTTCCAAAACTGCAGACCGAGGAAGGTGATGTGCAGCAGCCACGCTGGAGCTCGTGAAAGAAGAGTGGATTCAGGGCTGGAGTTACCTTTCTGGTCAGAGGTTACAGACGGTAAAGAGCGAGGCAGGCCCCAGGCAAGGACTGGGGCCCGGAACAGGAGGGGGTAGGAGGGGATGGGCTCCCTGCAGCTGTGGGTGAGGGGAAGACAGGAGGGGCGCAGGAGCAGAGGAGGATTCACAGGGCCGTGGGCAGACTGGGGACAGGGACGCCCCGAGGGACACAGGCTCAAGCACAGCGCTTTGTGGGTAGCTTTTGGCTCCTATTTCCTGGATGAGACCCACAGAAACCTCATTTGCTAACCCCCTGCACCAATTATCCTAACAGAATGGCGACAAGTTGGAACCCCTTGGACACACCTAGAAACGGTCCTTGAGGCCGTGTGCACCGGCAAACAATTCCTCTGGAGAGGAATCTGTCCCCAGTGTAAGGTTTTCCAAGTGAAGATCCTTACCTTGGATTGCTTCAGGTAGCGAAGGAAACCCAATTCTTCAGGGCGCAAAATGAGCAAGGCGTGCCCTCTTCCATTCAGGCCTCTGGCTGTTCTGCCCACACGGTGAATGTATTCCTTTGGTGGAGAGAGAAAACCTGAGGCAATACACTGGTTTGCATGGCAACCTTGGTGGCTGCCACACAGCCTATCACCATGCTCCCCAAAGATAGTGGGCCCCCATCCCTTCTGCAGGCTCCATCCCCACAGAGACGTACCGAGGCCAAGGAGAGCCGGACAGGACGTTCACATTAATTCTATCATCCATGAAATGACCAGCAAGTGGGCTTCAACTTCATAAGGGTTTTTGGAAACATTCAAATGGCTGACAACTTATATAATCTACCTTTTGTTGAAAATACCTAAAAAAACTTATTTTACTACATATACTAAAGAATGGCATCTATCTCCATAAGCACATTTTCTTCTGACATCTACTGATCTTAATAGACTGCCCCAAGCAGGCAACATTCCTAAGTTAAGTCCCACTGATGCCTCTCAAATCTCCTTGCACACACCCTCTCTGGGTCCTGTGAAAGCCTTAAACACTGTGAGCATCACCGAGATACTGCAGAGTTGCTGTGTGGCTGTATGCCAAAGTGGGACTGGGAACAACTTGAGGAACAGTCTGTGGGATGGGGTACTTCTCAGGGAACCTGGGGCGATAACCCAAGGATGCCAGTTACCTTGGGGTCATCTGGAGGGTCATACTGAACAATCCAGTCCACTTCAGGAATATCCAGCCCTCTAGCTGCCACGTCTGTACACAACAAGATCCCTGAATCTGCATTGCAGAACTGGAAGAACGTGGTCGTACGCTTATTTTGTTTCTGCCTTCCCTAGAACCAAAACAAACATCCATTGGAAGAGGAAATTTCAGAGCATTTGTGGGATGTCTTGATGTAGAACCCCTAAACTGTGGAACTGCTACCTGCTTTACTTCAAGCTCACTACCTGGCTTATTTCCCTAAGCGATGGCATCTGTTCCTCCTTTCAGGTTCCCACTTCCCGCCCACCCCCCCTCCCCCCAGCAAAGTTCCCTCCACACAGGACCCATCAACTGTTATTGTCCAAACTACTCAGAACTATGTCTGAAGGTGAGAACAATACCTCAATCTCCACAACCTACTTAACTTGGTAAGTGTAAGCTGTTTTTAATAAACTTATCATAACCACTTACATGAATGGCCAGGACAGGCAAATCGATGTAGTTCAGCAACTCATAGTGGTATTTCACGGACTTACAGGATGAAAAGAAGACCATTAGTTTCTTCTTCCGGTTCTTCTTAAGGAATGTAAAGAGCAGGAGGAATCTCTTTTCAGAAGGACAGACAACATATCCCTAGAAGAGGTTCAAGTGAACAGACACAAAATAACCAAATGGATACTTTCAGCTTCATGAACCAATGTAATTTGATGGAGAGAACAGACTAACATGGCATATACACTGTTAAGCCTCACCTATAGCAAAATTACTACCTTCATTATAATAATGCAGTCCTAAAATAAGACTGATTTTAAATCTTTTGATTCCTTTTATTGGCTACAATCACTGGATACTAAATATTTTCCATATTTCTGAGACTACTGGTTATCAAGTTCTTGTAATCATAGTATACCAATACTTCTATTAATTGGAACCTTCTAAGCATATCAGTGATTCATTTTTAGAAGGTCCTTAACAGAAAGATCTCAAATAACCACAGCTGAAGTGCACTATCCTAAACAACATCATAAAGCTAGGTGAATATATTTTTAAAAACTAAATGACCAATGAAAGGTTTTTAAGCTAAATTGTTACAGGAAAGAAATATTTTACTCATCAAAAGACTCAATCTTAAAGTTCTATTTTTAATCAACCTGTTTTGGATCTTTGTCACCTCAGTTACATGCTTGAAACCAGCCTCTCCACTTTCTAACTCACCTCACATTTTAGCCCAAGATATTACTGAACAACAAAACCCATTTTCCTCATATAAAATTGGTGGTATTATTATTAAGTTCATTAACCCATTTGCTTTTCAGAGGATCCTCCAAACACTTGCAGGGAAACACCAAAGGAGATCCTTAAAATGGAAGGTATTGACAAAAAGTACCTGCTCAAGACCGTCTACAGTTGCATTAGCTTTATCATCATCAACACCAACATACAAAGGCTCCTTTTTCAGAGAAATCCTTGCCAGGTCTTCAACTTTTCGAGTTTGTGTGGCAGAGAAGAGCATGGTCTGTCTGCGTGCTGAAACATATCCATATAAAAGTAACCCAGATCTTTGAGGGGATTTTTAGAATTGCTTCACAACTAAAAGCGCTCTAAGTAGAACTTTCAGAAAAGAGAAACACGGTATCAGTGCAGACACTAAGAGGGGCAGCCAGGACAATTCTACGTTTACAGCTTTGACAGCTAAGTGGAAGTGGACAATTTCTGCTAAAGATCACTTAAGACAGCTTACTTTCCAACTCATCTTTTACAGAATTTTAGCAAAGTGAATTCAGAAATATAAGCATCTATCAGAATTTAACATTTATTTCTGCTTTAAGAAACAGCAGACTAGGAACGAAAGGGATCCCCCTATACAGGGCATCTAGACGTGTGGCATCTACACCACACTTAGTGCTGGGAGACCAAATGCTTTCCCACCTAAGGCCACGAGTGAGATAGAGATGCGTTCTTTAGCCAGTTCTACTCAGGAGTACACTGGAGGGTCTGGTCAGTGCAATCAGACATGAAAACAATAAAGTGAAAAATTTTACAAGATATGAAAAAACCTGTACAGTGAAAACTCTGAAACACTTCTGAGAGAGATCAGGGAGCTGATAAATGGAGATCTACCTCATTCATGTGCTGAAGGACCCAACTTTTATCTTCCACCAATGACTGATATTCAGTACAATCCCAAGATCACAGAGACTGACAAATATTCTCACATTCATACAGAAATGCAAAAACAAAGTTGGAGGATTAACACTACCTAATTTCAGGACTTAACAGGAGGGACTGGGACCTCCATACTCTGCTGATGGGGATGTAAAATGATACAAATAATCCTATAGATTCCTAGATAATCACACAACAGAAAAGGTGATATACGCTCATACAAAGAGTTGTAGGTGGATGTTCATAGCAACCTTATATGTAACAGACCAAACCTGTTAACAACACAGTCATCCATCAACAGTTAAATGGACAACAAGTTGTGGCATATTTATGCAACAGAACGCCTCCCTGGAAAAGCGAGGAACCACTGAGAATGGAACGGCGCAGACAAGTCACAGAATTCGCTGAGCACAAGAACAGACAAAGAGACAGGGATACCGCATGATTCCATTCATACGAACCCCTGAGAAATGCAAACTGATCTACACTGGCGGAAAGCAGGCCAAGGAGAGCCGCCTGTGAGAGAGGAGACCTGCGCGCAGCTGTTGTAAGCAGGGGAGGGTTGTTGCTACTGAGGGAGAGAGGGAGCGATCACAAAGGTGCATAAAGTAACCTTTGAGAGTTACGAGAATATTCACTGTATTGACTGTGGTGATGGCTTCAAGGTGTAAACAGGACAAAATGCATCAAATCATATACTTAAAACATAATAGTCTTTACATGTTTTTACATGTAAAGATTATTATGTTAATTATATCTCGATGAAGCAGTGAAAAACAAATCCTGTAAGGCACTGAACCATAGTGTTATTATAGATATAAGCAGTTTATAAATGTTTCAAGTACTATAACCAAGGTACATACAACTTAAACATAACACATAAGGCAACAAGTCGATGATTACTGGAAGATGAGAGATGGGGTGGCAGGGATGAACAGGAATGAGACATATGTTAAAACTGTTTAACGTGCACTTAAATAAGCTTTAAATGGCAAAACCACTGTATTAAGTTACCAGTAAGATCGATGTATATATTGCAAACTACCTCTAAGGCTGACGGGCACAACTACTTCACTTGGTTAAATTACAATGCTGACATTAATAGTTTTCGTACAGGAAAAATTCTCAGCTACTTCCAACAGCTACTCTGCAAACCACATGAAGATGCAACCCACTTACTTGGCAGAAGTTTAATGATTTGCTTTAATTCCTCTTCAAACCCAACATCCAAGATACGATCAGCCTCATCAATAACCAGACACTGGAGGTTTTTATACATGAACCCGGGGGTATTCTGACGAGACAAAGGACAGAAAGGGACTGTCAGCTGCCGAGTGAGTCTCTCAGACAGAAGACGGGGCGGCAAACAGCGTCCTCTCACCTGCATGTGGTCCAGGAGACGGCCTGGCGTGGCCACGATGATGTTGACCCCATTGGCAAGCTTCTGCGCTTCAGCAGACCTGTTACTGCCACCCATTATCACCCCGTACGTGTGAACATGGTGGGTCATCAGCTCCTTAAGAACGCCGAAAGTCTGCATGGCCAGTTCCCTAGTCGGTGAGAGAATAAGGACTCCTGTTCCTAAAAAGCGAAACAGGGTATATGGTCAAAGTCAAGCTGTAGTTACCACCAGGAGTCCAGCCACAGGCATGACAGACTTCTAGTGAGATTCTGACAGAGACAGTGGGCTCACAGGCTTACCATTCCTGGGCATGAACTTTAACTTAACAATGAGTTCAACTGCAGGGATGAGAAATGCCAGGGTTTTGCCACTGCCTGTTTTTGCAGCTGCTAGGAGATCCCTAAAAAATAAAAAGGAGAAACATATTTGCTCTACTCATTCAACAAATATTTACGAAATACCTACCACGGACTATCATACGTGTTTCAGGCACTGAGGCTAGATCATAACAAGAAAATAGTCCCCACTTTCTCTATCACCAAAATCAATCAGGTGGGTTAAACACTTACAAATAACAATTGTGCTAAAAACAGAAGTGAACAGTTTTCTCCAAACATCAATAAATAACCTAAAGCCTTTAATGAAGGTTAGATATATTATCCAACACAATGTGAGATCAATAGACCATACTAGTATTTTTTTTTTCCCCAAACTACTGGCACCAAAAACAGAGACATTGAGTGTGTGTATGTGTGTGGCTCAGTCATGTTCGACTCTTTGCGACCCCACAGACTGGAGCCCACCAGGCTCCTTTATCCATGGGATTTCCCAGGCAAGAATACTAGCCTTGGGTGGCCATTTCCCTCTCCAAGGGATCTTCCCAACTCAGGGATCAAACCCGCATCTCTTCCATCTCCTGCATTGATAGGTGAATTCCTTACCACTAGCGCCACTTGGGAAGCCCAGTACTAATGCCCAAACCTCAGTGTTAACCATACCTGCCTTCCAGAAGTGGTCTGACACTTTTATGTTGAATTTCAGTCATGTTTGTAAAGCCCATTTCTTTTATTGCCTTCAGAGTGTTCTCATTGACAAGATTAGTCAGAGAATCAAATGAAGTATCCTCAAAAGCTCCTAAGCAGAAGATAGTTTATCATTAGCAAATTTACTTTCTCTGAATAGTTAATATTGCTAGTTTCCTAAATTAGTTTTGCTGATTGAAAACATTACTGGGTTGGTGTCAAGCTTAGAAGAGCTTCTTCCAATAAGAAAAGACTAAACACCAAACATTCCTATGTAACAAGAAAAAGGCCTTATACTTGTTGCAAGTTTCTCCACTGCTAATGGCTGTGTAATCTAAAGCCTATACTGTAACAAAATAACAAAGAGCTGGAGAGGTGGTACAATCAAGGGACTTATGTAAAATAAAAATGCCAAGGTGGGGGTGCACTGGGGGAGAGGTGGTGGTGTGAGGTTGGCAGGGGCAAATTCAGAGAGAAATGAAATGTTTAAGAAATCTGAAATAAAGGCAGAAAACACTCAGTATAAAAACAGTATGAAGTCATCAAAATAGTAACTCTCACTCCAAAAGGACAACTGAGAAGAGCCGGACACGCCCGGGATGGTGAGAATGTGCCCATGCGTCAGGTGCGCGGCGGTTCTCCCGCAGGGGAAGGCGTCAGGCCACCCGGGAGCTCCCGGCTCAGCATACGCCCCAGCTAGAACCCAGGGGCTGGCAACCTGGGCACCACTGCCGTCCTGGGATGGGTAACTCTCTGCTGTTAGAGGCTGTCCTATGCATTACAGGAGGCCCTGCAGCATCTCTGACCTCTACCCACTGGGCACTTGTCACCTGGTCCCATGGTTTACTGGGACAGAGGAGGCTTAAGGGGTGCAGGACTTTGAACGGGAAAACTGGGACGGGTCCCCCTACCTAGGAGGTAAAATTACCCTGCTTGAGAACCACTGCCGTAATAACCTTTGCAATTCGGATTATACAGGTTGGGTTGTGGGCTTCACTATTTTAATAAACAAAAACCCCAAACCAAACAACTTAAGTAACTGCTAGATGTTTCTAGTTAGGAGCAATTGATTCTAAACTCTTGACTTTACAGATAAAGAAACAGAGGTCAGAGGTGACTCTGGCACAAGCCCCTCAATAATGTTAACTCCATCCTCCTGTTAGTAATGGAGCCAGCATTAAACCTCTGGGCTGCAGACTTCCATGCCGACGATTTTCCTACTGTAACATGGAAAGTGTCAAACCAAAGAGAGACAGCGAACCCAAGAGCTGTTTGCGTGCATGGCAAATATTTAATGTTAGGGATACAGAGAAAGGAAAAACAGAGAAAGAGCTAAGAACTGAAGCACACAACGTGGAAGATAAAAAGCAGCATTTAGATACAAAACCATTTCTTGTCAGTACTTATTAACATATTTTTTCCCAGCTAAATTAAACGCTACAACTGAAATCTATCTGGAAAAACACTGATAATTACCTGTCAGTCCCAGGGGCAGGGTGGGCACTTCGCTGTCCTCATCCTCGTCTGGCTTCTCCACACTGTTTTCTGTTTCTTCAGGAGCCTGGGCACCATCTTCAGCGGTGTCCTCAGCTTTTGCTTTTTTGGAATCTTTGGTTTAAAGGACAAATACCCCCCAATTTTTTAAAAACAAGAATACCAAATGAGATCATAAAATAAAAGATGTGTGATACAAAAACAAAACAAAACAAAACATATTTTCAAAAGCTTAACACATTTTCAGTTTTAATTTCTGGGTGACAGAAACTGGCTGGCTGGTTCCTTGAATGTAAGTGGTAGGAGGAGAGAGGGAAGGTTTCCTAGCTCTTCATTCTCAGCATGTATTCACAACTTTCAAAAGAGTCCCTTAAGCTACCTTCCCAGTCCTACCTCCCATCATGCTCTTAAATGTTCTACTTTGGGCCAAATAGGTTAATTCCATGCTGGGCTTTTAAAAATTCATGGCAGTTAGTGATTCTAGTTAGAATAGAATTGACCTAAACCAGAACTCAGGACTCTGTAACCCAGGACTGGTCTCTTTTTGGATCTTATGCCCACCTCTGTGGGAAATGGTCAACTCTGCAGGACCCACACATTCAAAGGCCATGAATACTATCAAGGCTTATGACTTCTCTTTTTGTTAAAACAATTCTTAAAGGTTATCAATAGGATTTAAATTTCCAGTCATGTGATGCAGTGCTTGAGAGTAGAACTATCACTTCCTCCAGCATACTCAGAACAAGAATCCTAAAGGCACTTACAATTTTAGAACAGGATTACAATTGCTTTAAATCAAAATTGTAATGTCTAATCCTCATGCTTTAGTCTCTGTCTTGTTTCACTTTTTGTTTAAGCAGTTTCTCATAACTTACAAATGCATTATAGTCTGCAGGCAATAAAAAGAGAGCCACGCATGTTTGGAAAATCCAATGCATTTTTCTAGATGAAAACTTTACTTCAGACAAAAGGTGAATAGGACATGCTAATGCAGGTGTCAGCAAATGTTATCTATAAAGAACCAGATTTGTTAACACTTCAGGTTTTGCAGGCTGCATGGTCTCTGTCATCACAAAGGTCAAGTAAACACATGGACATCACAGCACTCCAGTTAAGCTTTACTGCAGAAATGGGCAGAAGGCTGAACAGTCCGACCCTCCCCTGAAATCTCTGCCTGCTCACAGTTCAACTAAAATGCCTCTTCTTTCACTAAACTTATTCAGTCCAATGATCTTCTAAATGAAAATACCCCTCTTCCCCCATCCTGGACATTCTCCTCACTAGGGAATTAATGTTCCATTTATTCAGAGAAGAAAGGGAGAATGATAACTTGAAAAACTTAATAGCTTAAGTTAAAAAAAAAAAAGTACATACCAGGCCCCACATCATCCACTATTTTTCTCTTTTTCTTCTTCTTCTTTTTTGATTCTGAATTGGGACACTGCATTGCTGCTTCTCCACTGGTCAATGTGGTAGATTTCTTGGAGGCTTTCTTAACTTTGACATTTTCCCCTGTTTCTTTAGATACATCTCCATTTGGGGTTTCTGACATGCCTGTATTTACAGACTCTTTCACAGATTTTTTAACTTTGACATTTTCCATGGCTTCCTTAGATAGGTCTCCATTGTTGGCTTCTGACAAGTTTGCATTCATAGACTGTTTTCGGGACTTTTTTACTTTTCCACTTACTCTTGCTTCTTCAGATATGTCTCCATTTTGGGCTTCTGACAACCCAGCACTCATAGGTTGTTTCAGGGATTTTTTAACTTTTCTGCTTCCTACTGTTTGTTTAGCTATATCTCCATTTTGGGCTTCTGACAAGCCCACATTCACAGACTGCTTTATGGACTTTTTAACTTTTCCATCTCCCACTGTTTCTTCAGACACACTTCCATTTTGAATTTCCGACAGGCTCACAGCTGAGGCACCTGTTTAAAAACAGAAAACATTGTGACAAAGGAGAGGCTTGCTTAGAAACCCTGGAATCCCTAACAAAATGCCGTGGCTTCCAGTACTGAAATGGTGTAGCTTTTACTTCTATGTTATGAACATTAAAATGAGTTCCAATTTTACAGTGTTTCACTGTAGGACAAGTAAATTAAAAACAGGGAGAGAATGCAGCATTGATTTTTTAACTTCAAAAAACCACCTCTCTGTTCATAAGAAGTTAAAAGTCTTAAACAAGAAACCTATGGGGCCAAACAATGGTACTTACAAAACATACAATATTAGGTATTTGATAAGTCTACTTACTTAGATGTCAGTGAATTGAAAATTCTGTTGATGAAACTACTTATTTGCCTTGATATTTATTGTATATAAATGCCTAACAATGTTTTACAAGTTTCTGTTTATACATTGACAAAGTACCATCTTTTGTTACCTTAAACTACCAAGAAGTCAGTAATGCTTTGTTATTCCATAGGAAATGTAAACACTAGGGAACTTCAAAAACATTCCTAAAATTCACACACTTGTTCCCTCCTCCAGGATTTCTTTCAATCAACTAATCTCTGTAGAAAACCAACTAATGTAAGGCAGTATGCCTCCAACATTGCCCTAGGGGGTCTTAAGTCTATCAGGGCAGAGGTCCCCAACCTCTGGGATCTAATGCCTGATGATGTGAGGTGGGAGCTGATATAACAATAACAGAAATAAAGTGCACAATAAATTTAATTCGGACTTGAATCATCCGCACCGCCCGCCTCCCGCAACACCACCCCCCGCCCCCACTCCTCACCGTGAAAAATTGTCTCTCATGAAACCAGTCCCTGGTGCCAAAAAAGGTTAGGGACCGCTGTTCTACAGGACCTAAAAAGGCTAACATAACTAACTTCAGGATGTCTGCTCCACCGTAAGAAAGTTAGGACTGCAACCGAGGTAGTTAAAGAAAAGTGACATTCAGGTAAAATGCTTTTCAATAGTCTTTGTTCTGGACACAAATACGCAGAAGCTCCTAAGAAATGTATAACTTAAAGTTAGGGAAGACGGGAAGACAGGGCACGAGCAAATGCATCACGCCTACGACCGTGCATGAGACACCTTAGGAGATGAACTTCTGCAGGAGTCGAGACAGAGTGCAGGTAGGTAGGCGAAAACAAGGGTATCAAGTATGTCCATGAAATGAGTGACACCCAGCTTGTTTTGAAACGATACACACACGAGATAGATGATGTAAAAGGAAGATGCGTGGGGATGAGAAAGTCCCACGTGTCTACTGGGAGATGGGGGTTGGGGATGAGGTGGACCCTAGAGGTCGAGGAGTCGGAATAGGGAGGGTGGAAGTGGGGAAGCCTTGTTCAGCTGGAAGCACAGATGGAAAGAAAATCAACCGGGGGCCTATCCGCGTTCTGAAAGGAGAAACTGCAGTTGAAAATTCAGGGGCAGATCTGGGGCAACGCGGCGTCGGCACCTGCGCTGGGCCCGCACGGAGGCTGCCCCGGGCTGCCTGTCCCCGCTCCCCAAGCAGCGTGCTCTTGGGGAAGCTGCCAGCGCCACACCGGGGCCCTAGTCACCAGCGCCGCTCGCTTCCGTGCCGCGCCTCGGCCCACGTGCCGGCTCCCTCCGCAACCCGGGCCGCCGAGAGGTTCAGCGCATCTCACCCTGGAGCTTCAGGTTTCGTTGTCGCAATTTGAGGTTCCGCTTCTCGATCTTCCTGCGTAAAAGTTTCATCGGTAAATGAGACATGTTGTCGGTAAAGTGCCTTCAACAGGGCGCCACAGCCCAGCTTTTCGGCTCTCTCAACTGACGTTAGTTCCTCTCTAGTCACACGTGCGCAGTGCGGCCAGCCGGAAATGCGTCATGGGAGCACCCCCCCCCCCCACCCCGGTGCGCAGACGAAATGGGTCCCGGGTGGAAATGCTTCCCGGCGCGCGCGCCGTCCTACACTTGTGGAAAAAGGATTCTGTGTGGCGCCCTCTCGGGGAAAGGAGGCGCGGCCCGGCACGGGATTCCCATTGTATTCGAGCCAGTAGCGCGCACCCCGGCTACTTGGCTTTGTTTTCGCTTCCCTGGGCGAAGAGTGAAGAATCAAGGCCATAGGGAGTCTACATTCTCCATTCTGTTCCTATTCTTTTCGGATTCTGGACGATTTAAGTCGAGTAATACCTAAGTCTCACACATATGTGTTTCCAAACTTGTTGACCACTCTCCTTAGTAGGAAATATACTCACTTTCTATGTCACTTGCTACCCAGCAATGTACCCATAACATTTCTCAAAGCATTCTAACTCGTTTCACTTTTATGCTTTTCCTTTGATACCATTCATCCCATCCTAAATTCTGAGTCCATTAAATATTCGGATTAGTGTGCATTAAAATTGATTCTACTGCTCTACTAATTGATTAGCTGCAGTTTGAAAAGTTCAGGTTTAAAAACCCCCAAAGCTTACAGCACAGACCCTTTAGAAGTGCTGAACAGAAATTACAATCTGATTGGCTAGTAGACCTGTGTGTGTGTGTGTGTGTGTGTGTGTGTGTGTGTGTGTGTGAGGGTACATTTAAAAACAAAATTTTACTAACATTAAAAATTTGGGCTAATTCATGGAGAAATTCGTATTTTTTCTTTAAAAATTGATCTTAATGGGCTCAAATTCCTCTTGGCAATTATCAGTTTGAGCTGAACAATAATTGGAAGAGTTAATGAAAGCCAACAAAGGACGGTCTGGTCAAGGCTATGGTTTTTCCAGTGGTCATGTATAGATGTGAGAGTTGGATTGTGAAGAAAGCTGAGCGCAGAAAAATTGATGCTTTTGAACTGTGGTTTTGGAGAAAACTCTTGAGAGTCCCTTGGACTGTAAGGAGATCCAACCAGTCCATCCTAAAGGAGATCAGTCCTGGGTGTTCATTGGAAGGACTGATGCTTAAGTTGAAACTCCAATACTCTGGCCACCTCATGCGAAGAGTTGACTCATTGTAAAAGACCCTGATGCTGGGAGGGATTGGGGGCAGGAGGAGAAGGGGACGACAGAGGATGAGAAGGCTGGATGGCATCACTGACTTGATGGACATGAGTTTGAGTAGACTCCGGGAGTTGGTGATGGACAGGGAGGCCTGGCGTGCTGCGATTCATGGCGTCGCAAAGAGTCAGACATGACTGAGCGACTGAACTGAACTGAATGAAAACTAGAATCATTTGTTTGGTGGAGTGGCAGGACCTGACCTAGTAGGGTTTAGACATAGTTATAGGGAAGAAGGGAGAGGAAGAAAACTTGGGAGGGAGTTCAAACAGAATGTAAATAAATTGAGAAATCAGATTGAATTGGACTAGAACACAGAGGCAACCCATGATGTGTTTAAGTTGTTACTAATTAAACAGGTTAAGGAATGAGTCAGAAATTTAAACTGGCACACACACACACACACACACACACACACACAGATATATACACACAATATCTCTCACTTTATATATATATATATATATATAGTGAAGGAAAGTTACACAGCTCAAAATAACCCGCTCCCGGTCCTCCCCACCATTCTATGCAAAACAACGAACTCTCTCACCTGAAGAAAAAAATGGACATTAAGGTTGATTACGCCCAGCTCCAAGCTGGTCCAGCCTCTGGCGGATCTCCAGAATTCCTTGCCCCAGCCATTTGAGAGAGAACTAATCCAAACAACCTTGGAGAAGAACGGGCCCCCTTAAGACAGTGGATTTCCACATATATGCCTATATATACTTTTTTCTTGGGTTAGTGCAGCAGCTCACTAATGCTGCCCCTTCTGGCCTCATTAAAGGTGATCTGGTCCTGTAAAGTGCTGGGCTTGTTCTTTTTCAGAACCTCGCCTTCTCTGACTCCCTTACCCTACATATGGAAGTTTATACAGATGTATATTAGTTTAAATATATTCATATATATATATATAATACTGTTTATATTTAATTTTTGTATATTATAAAGTTTTGACATATTAAAAAAACCTTTTCTGACTGGAAAGATTGCTCCTTTGGGGACTAGCCAATTTTTAGAGATATAGCAAAGGACTTAGCCAAGAGCATGCCTATAACATGCAAACTAACTAATGCAGAGCTATACTTCTTCTATCTGGCTTGTGTACCCCCTGGAGGCAATATTTCTCTACCTTAACCATCCAGAGCCAGGCTCCAAGCAACTAGAGGCCACTCCCATTGATAGTGTGCATGCTCAGCCAGTCAGTTGTGTCGACTCTTTGCAACCCCATGGCCTGTAGCCCACCAGGCTCTTCTGTCCATGGATTTCTCCAGGCAAGAATACTGGGGTGGGTTGCCATTTTCTTCTCCAGGAATCTTCCCGACCTTGGGATTGAACTCGTGTCTCCTGCATTGCAGGCAGATTCTTTGCTGTTGGGCCAGCTGGGAAGCCCCTGCTACAGTTTACATCCAATTAAATTATCCAAACCAGTCAACTGCAAACTGTTTATTTTGCCTTGCCAGGCTTTTCCTGAAGAACAGCCAGTAAAGACTGTGGCCAACACCCTCCCTTTGTTTCTTCTGCTGCTTCTGCCTGTGTGGGGCGCTGGTGCTTTCCTGTGTGGCCCTGCATGGGATGGCGTGCCTCCTGATTCTAGTACCAATGAGTACAATAAAGTTTGTTTTCTTGACCCTCTCCTGTGTCTCCTCTTGTGGTTGAATCTGACCATGACATAAAAGAGCACAGAATCTATATACATACGTATCTGTTTCTGTCTATACACACACACACACACATATACTCAGGTGATTACACACCTGAGTATTGGGTCTGTGACTCTAAAAATCACTTGAGGGATTTTCAAATCCCTCCCTTGTTAGTTGATGCAACAACTAATATAGCTTTCATCTTCCCTTCAAGTGCATGGAAATGCTCAATTTTAGGGATTGACAACCTTTCAGGAGTCACATGTAAGGCTATTGATGCCATTTTTTCTAGATTATTATGAAAGGATGAGAGATGATAACCTTGCATCAACCTTCAAAATTAGAGGTGGATGTTTTAATAGAGTGAATTTCCAAGACCAGATCTTGTAAACAAATGAGCATCACTGAATTGGACTTCAGAAAATAATCTGTGAGATATGGGGAAGTGGCAATTAAAAACATGTCTCTCTGAAAATTCTTTGGTCTCTCACTGCTAGAGCCTATCTTAGTATCTATTTAGTATATATTTTTAAGTCATTAAAACTTTTTGCCTGTGTTCCTCATCTCAAGTATCTTTCTCCCCAGAATATATTCATTTCTCAGTTAACTTATTTTGCAATTATTTTCTGAGCATATTTGTGCCAGGAATATGTGATTGATGAGTGCTAAGTTCTGGGAGTAGAATTGTGGATAAGATTGATGTGGCTTGCCTTTGTGGAGCTTACATATCTTACATGCAAAACAACTATGATAAACTGCACAGTGAGAAGGGAAGCACGTGACGGGTCTGGGAGTGGGGTTGGGAATAGACTTAATTTCTTCATTTAATGCCCACTGTGCATGTGCATTGGGCTAGAGGCAGGAAGAACAGGGATGAGAGATGCTGCCTTTTATTTGCCTTCTAAAAATATTTAAATGTAATGTGGATCGTGCCTTCCCCCTACCGTTCTTTGAATTTCATTTGAGATCCTTAAGCCTTAGACAAATGTTTGTAAAATAAAAAGCAGATTTGTGTGTACAAAATTTCTTCTGATTCAAATAAAAACAACCTCACTTTACTGAGAAAAGAAATTGTCTATTTCACAAACCCCTTAGAATTTAGCCCAAAATAAGTGACTCACTCTCTAATCACTGCATTTGGATGCTTGAAATAAATTTCTAGGAAATTTTAGATGCTACTCTCTGTAAGGTTAACCACCTATAATATATAGGAAAGTGTTATATTACTATAAATAAGCAGGGTGTTGCATCCTCCAATTGGCTTGACCCTGGTTCTCCTTATTTCCATAGTGTCCTAAACAGATGGCAGATGCTTGAGAAATGTCTTCTTCAGTGAACTGACAGACAGGAAAATGAGAGGGCATTTTAGGGAGCATTGTGCAATTCCAAGTCATTACTGATTATTGACATGTATGATTAATATAGTTAGTTCTAGGGACTGGAGTGGGTATAAAGCATATAACAAAACTTTCCCTCAATAAGTGTATTCATTTGCTCCTGAAAAAAAAATAGGGCTTTGCTGGTGGTCCAGTGGTTTAGAATTCCCCTGCCAGTGCAGGGGACACGACTTTCATCCCTGGTCTGGGAGGATCCCACATGCTTTGGGCAACTAAGGCAGTGCACCACACCTACTGATCCCACACTCTAGAGCCTGTGGGCCCCAAGTACTGAGGCCTGTGAGCCTGAGAGCCCATGCTCGGCAACAAGAGAAGACCCTGCAATGAGAAACCTGGGCACCGCAGCTAGGCAGTCGCCCCCTTCCCTGCAACTGGAGAAAGTCCACGTGTAGCAACAAAGACCCAGCACAGCCAAAGATTAATAATTAAAAAAAAAACTACTCTGTGCCAGGTGCTGCGCTGGGCCCTGAGAATTGCAGTGAATAAGACAGGCAATGTCTTTGTTTCCAGGGAGCTTACTGCCCAGAGAGGGGAGACAGATATTAATCAGGCAAGTAGGTGAATGAACACGGTCACTTCACAGGCAGCTAAATGCTGGAGAGACATTAACACAAGATGATGTAATATAATAGTGAGAGATGGGTGGGGGGCCAGGGCAGTTTGCTGCTCAGGGTGGGAGATGTTTTTGTGGAGCCAAAGTCAGTCGTGCAGAGATCCAAGGTCAGGGAAAAGGCTGGCAAAGACAGCCTTAATATTTCATGAAATAACTGTACAGGATAG